TGGTTTGCTGTATTTTAGCCCCATTTTCATGTACAGGTAAAGAATATGTTAGTGCAGGCTCTTTAACTTAGAATCTGCACCTGTTGTTCTTTTTTTCCATTCCTTTTGTGCAACCAAAACTATTTTCAGGAGTGCAGTAAGCACTTAGCATCCTGCTGAAGAGAAAACAACACACAAAAGAGCAAACATCAACCTGTTGGAAGTTTTACTCTTGTTTTACTGTGCCCTGGACTGTGTTCCAGTTTGATGCAACCAATCTGGTTCTCTGGTCTTTTCCAGGTGGCTATTACAGGGCAGCTTGGCATGAAGACCCAGCCTGGAAGCAGCATCCCACTTACAGCCACCAATTTTCGGATCCAAGGGAAAGATGTGCTGCGCCTGCCCCCCTCCTCAATCACCACAGATGCAAAGGGACAGACTGTGCTGCGAATCACCCCGGACATGATGGCCACCCTGGCCAAATCTCAAGTCACTACTGTCAAACTGACTCAGGACCTCTTCACAGCAGCTGCTGGAAGCAGTGCTAGTGGGAAGGGCATTTCTGCAACATTGCACGTGACATCCAATCCTGTCCAGACTGCTGATTCTCCGGCCAAGACCAGCACGGCCTCATCTTCTTCTTCCAGTCCAGCTGGAAGCACGGTGGTTAAAGTGACTCCTGACATAAAGACTGCAGAGCCAGCGAGTTCTGCTTTCAGATTGATGCCTGCTCTAGGCATGACTGTGGCGGATCAGAAGAGCAAAGCCATTACTACAGTGGCATCCACTGAGGCCAAGCCAGCTGCTACCATAAGAATCGTCCAAGGGCTGGGGGTGATGCCACCCAAAGCTGGGCAGACGATTGCCGTAGCTGCTCACTCAAAGCAAGTACCTTCTTCTGCAGCAGTGAGCGTGCCTGGCTCAGTCCATACCTCAGCTGTCTCCTTACCAACCGTGAGTGCCACAGTGTCCAAAGCAGTTGCTGTTGCCTCAGGAGCTGCTGGGACTCCCATAACTATAGGCACAGGAGGTACTGCTGTGCGCCAGGTTCCTGTCAGCACCACGGTAGTATCCACATCCCAGGCAGTAAGTAATGCTGAGGTTTCTCTGGAGTTAGCAGAGAAAAGGGAGTGGTGGTTTATTACTGATGACTTATCTCTAAAAACCTCTTACATCTGCAGAAGGTCAAATTAAGTAGTGTAGAATGTGAGTCCACAACTGATTCTGTGGTGTTGGAATTGCAGCTAAGTATTGAATGGCCAGAATACAGTTAGCTGTGTGTCTTCCAAAAACTGCTTTTGAGACAGTGAGGGAAATAAATTGGGTTTATCTGAAGTCCTCACCACTAGATGCAGTTCAGCACCTTGCCTCATGCTTCTGAAACCACCTTTTTTGGAATAGTGTCCCAAGCAGAAGTGCTCTTTACTTGTATAAACATTTTTACCAAGTTACCAGTTTATTGGTTTAATAGCTATTACCAGTGGTTTTAATGCCCAAAGCTGAATGCAATGTAAACTGTATTGTGAAAGTTGAGCAAGTTAATTGACATTACCATAGTTTCATAAGGATAAAAATGATGAGCAAATGCGATGCTCCTTCACAGAGAAATATTGTGGTGCAAAGATGAAAGGGATTTGCAGGATTGGGGCAGCTGTGAAGTGAATCAGTTGGAGGTGAATTTCAATTAGACTGCAGATCACATCAGCGACACTGCTTTGGTTTCTATTCCCAGGATGCTGAAAAGCAAGCTGAATGGCAACTGCCTGTTGTCAAGCAGTTTCTCTGCTGCATTCCCTGTGGCTTCTCATGTATTTTCAACTTCTCTAGGGTAAACTACCAGCCCGAATAACAGTGCCTCTGTCAGTGATCAGCCAGCCAGTGAAAGGCAAGAGCGTGGTGACTGCCCCCATCATCAAGGGCAACTTGGGGGCCAAGTGAGTACCTTCCACCTAGTAGTTTTGTTTAGAAATAGACTGAGGAGGTTCTCTGTGCAGTTAGGTTCCTGGGGATCTAGCAAGCAGAGGATGGTAGAGATTTGAAGTCTGTTGAAAGGACCACTAACAGCAAGAAACTGAATGTGGAGCCTGGCAAAGAATGCAGTTCTTGTTTAGGTGCACTGAGATGTGGATTCTAACAATACAGGGAAGAAAATAATAATATTTGCTTTTAAGCCAACTATAATAGTTTAGTTTATAATAGATTAGTTCTTTGTTTGAGCAAGAATTAACCTGGTGACATACCTAAAATTGTTTGTAATCTGAGGGCATCTCTCTGTCAGAGAAACTAGTGCAGTGTTAACTGCCTCAGTGCAAAGCCCTGTGGCATTCAGGTATTGTTGTCTTTCTGTTTATTCTTCCACGAATTCTGGTAGTATCTCCCTTGGTTCATATTTCAAGGCAGAACATTGTGTGCTCAGCTATTCTCTGCATTCCCTGGGAAGTGTTCAGGTCTGATCAGACTAGCCCAGTCACAAACACGGTCCAGAGTTAGAGGGTTTAGTCCATGTGATAAAGTCATGCTCCCTAACCGTGAGAAACGTTGACATAAACTTTTCACTTGTGTATTTGCCATTGTTGTGAAACAAAAATAATTAAAACCATTAGTAAATTAGCTAAGTCGTTTAATCTCCTAGCAACTGAAAAACAATTCATAAAAGGCATAGCCTGCTGTACTGTTTATTAACCTTTCAACAATTCTCTTTCCTTAGCATCAGTGGGTTGGGCAGAAATATCATCCTGACTACGATGCCAGCAGGGACAAAACTGATTGCTGGGAACAAGCCAGTGAGTTTTCTGACTGCACAGCAACTGCAGCAGCTGCAGCAGCAAGGCCAAGCCACACAGGTAATGGCATGAAGAATGATTCCCTCATTTGCTTTGTGATGACTGAACATCTTTATGAGGACATCTGATAGATACATGGGTTTCCATGAGAAGTGCAGGTGCTCAGCTTGTCTGTATTGAGCACATGCACTGCATCGTTTCCTTTTCCTTCCTTACATCCAGTTATGGTTTTTAAATGTTTTTGAAGTACTGATGGTATAATGAATGGAAAACCAGGAGTCCTGTCATTTCTGGTTGACTGAAGGATTGTTTCTATACCCTGACTTCCTATTGCTTTGCTCTTTGGCTTCTGCACGCCTGCATTTCTTGAAGAAATCACATTGTTTCTTTGTGTAACCATTTTGCTGTCTGGAAACTTAGTGTTCAGTTTCAGAAAAGTAACCTTCATTGAAAGCTGCTAATAATAAGTCTTGAGAAGCGAAGCATCCAATGGAGTAAAGTTCTTCCTCAGAAAACTTGTCATAGCAGCTGATATGTCAGTTTTTATTCACACTAGGTTTTAGTTCCTCCTGTCTGATCTTGAGATCTCTTGCCACCCTCTCACATGAGTAGTGGATGCAGCGATCTTCTTGTGCCACATTCTGTTTCTGATATGTTTTGGTGTTTGATCTTGTTCATGTAACTGAAATTTTGTCAGCAGCAGAAGCAGTCATTTACAGTGTGATGCAGGTGCTGTGTGGCACCAGGTTGTTCTTGACACGAGTTGAATTTTTTTGTTTCCATTTCAAACAGGTGCGAATTCAAACAGTTCCAGCCTCCCATCTGCAGCAGGGAACGGTGTCTGGCTCAAGTAAAGCAGTTTCCACTGTCGTCGTGACAACAGCTCCATCTCCAAAACAGTCCCAAGATCAGCTATGAGTACTGGTCTGAAAACCGATGGCTTTCCTGAATCTGCTGTCATCTTCCAAGGTCACCCAGCCACAGTCATGGCGAGGGATCGGACTGGATTCTGTCGCGTGCAGCACATGTTACTTGTCCTGCAGTCAGCGTGTGCTGTCGAGGTAGAAATGCCACATCAGAAGATGCTGTACCTGTAAAACAAATGGTTTCAGTCCAGATCTGTAAAGCTAAATTCTGTGGCATTCAGCTTTTAAGAGATGTTTTTCTTTCCCATGTTCTCTTCCCATCTGAAGTTCTTTTTACTAAAGGCCATCTGTCATTTCTGTCCATTTTGGTTTATAGACAAAGCAGTTGATCTTGGGTCTTCTTAACCATGGTATCTTGCTCAGAAGAGATAACTTGTTGGCTTTTCAAAGTCACGAAGAAGGTGCAGCACTTTGGTGGAGTCTAGCTGTCACTGATTTTATATAGGTGACTTAGGATCATGGCATGAACACCAGATGTTGTTTGTAACATAGCCTGGAAGTAGATCCCTAAAACATTCAATGTACTATTTATGTATAGACTTTTAAAATACCTCTTCCCTATCTCTGAGCTCTAACTTCTTGTTGAATGATACCACTTCCATGTCAAATTTCTGTCAAGGCAGTAAAAGAGCCCCTGGTCAGGATGATTCTTGATACAAAAAGAGATACAAAGGAGATACAAAAAAGAGAGAGAAAAATGACAAGAAGTCACTGTGAGTCTGTCAACAAATAAGAATGTGATGGAAAGGAAAGCATTCACCAGAAGCATTCTCCTTTATTTTTCCTCAACAAATCTTTGTGTCAGTCAGAAAGGACTAGTTTATTTTAAAAGTTGGGAATATGTTTTCAAATATACCCCAACTTCAGTCTCTTGGACGTGGAAGAAGTATTTTAGCCAGTGATTCTGTTTGGCCTTCAGTTTGGTTTTTATCTTTGGAATTTTAACCCTTTACAAATTTGAGTTTTGCACATATTGGAGAAGAATTCCTTGCTGTCCTGATGTGACCCTAAAGCTTTTTCAGAATAAGGTCACAAGGAGTGTTGAGCTAAAAGAATAAGAATACAGAAAGCCTTACAAATCCCTTTGCTGTCTCCTTTCAGTTTTGTACAGCTTGTTGTTTTGTGTACATGATTGTTTAGCTTGCCAAGGGCTAATAGATTGTCCATCTTCCTTTGTGAGATGGTTCCTTCTAACATGGTTCCTCTTGTCTTTTTTTAAAACCTGGTTTGCTCTGAGTTACACACAATTGAATCGAATGTATTACAGAACCAAGTCTCATCTCTCAGTGCTCTTGAACTCCATGGCAGAAGCCTCTGCTGAAGCTGTGTGTTGCTGTTCAGACTGGCTGCACCTGAGCAGAGCAAACTGTTCTGCTGAGCTTCAGTCAGGTATGTCAGTCTTTCTGTGCAGCAGCTAACCTGCTGTGTGAGTTGGAGGAAATGGGTGTTCATATAAAAAAACTGGCTAGCTGCAAGTATTAAACAATCAGGACACACCAACACACAAAGCAGCTCTTGGATATGCCACAAGAACAGAACTGGGAGTGATAACAGCTTTCTGAGCACCTGTCCTGCTTTGTCAATTTGTGTACCTCCTGTATGAAGTCTGTCAAACAAGTGGACAGGCACAGGGCTGTGGTCTGGGGGGTGTATGAAGGCATTCTGAAGTCCTTCTACAAATGCTTTTAGTTGTGAAGTTAAACATTAGAAGTGGAAGAGATGACAACTTTCTTCTGTTGCTTACATGAAAGTCTCTCTAAATTCAAAGCATAATCAAGATGATTGTGCTCTGTTGGTACTATTTGTAAGGTTCTTCAGTGTCAAAACTTGCAGTCAGGTGCTGAAGGATGATTACAGTGTGAAGCACCTTTAATTTCCGTGAATCCTCTTGCAAGCAGCCGTTTGAATTTGTCTCTGGAACATAAGGCACTGAAAGCATTAGGTTTCACAAAACTGAAAAACGTGCATCTAATTGCATGAGTTCAGTGTGTCTCTGAGGCTGTTGCTGCTGAGTTTCAGGAGTCTCCTCAGATCATCACCGTCTCCTTTCTTCCATAACCAGCTTTGCTAAACTGCTTGTCCACGTGAGCTACCTTTACATGCATGGCTGCTTGACTGAAGACCATTCTTGCTGCTTTTGAAGCCTGTGATCTCTGGGGAAGGAGCACCAGCCACTGTGTGGGTTTCTTACGTTAAAGAGCTGCATTCTGAATGGAATAGCACACCAATTTCAAGAGCAAAGTACGCCCTGTTCCATGGTTCAGCTTCACCCATCTGATGCGTTGATTCCACTCTGGTTGAAAAATAACCCTTCAGCTTCTGCAAGTAAAGAGCAGTCGGTTTTATAAGTAACCTATAATCTCTTAGCAATGTGCTCAAAGGCAGAGAGGGGTTCAAGTTAGTTTTTCCTTATGCATGCTAGGGCTGGATGAGGGTATATTTAAGCTAGGCTGTTTTCCATGTGTTTGCTCCTTTGTCCCCTTGCACTGGGAACTAAACACTCTTCCTGTGAGTACCACAGGGCTGTGCACAGGAGCAGGAGTGAAAGGCCGAGAGAAAGCAGTGTGCTGACATTGTCTGTTTTCCAGCTGTTTGTCCTGCAGGGCCTGAAACTGAAAGGATTTTTGTTCTGATGCATCCCGGCCATTATCTCTTGTAATTAAAAAATGGGATTACAGCCTGTTTTCATCACAGCGAGTTCCTCACGAGTGTTATGTAAGAGCCTTTATTGTTTCTTAAAAGCTGTGGGATAGGTATTTATTTCTACTGAGAGAATATCATGTAATCACTGCTTATAAGAACTGAGTCCTACACAAACTGCCTCAGGCCATTTAAACACACTAACCTTTATTTTAACAACTGCTTCATTTTATTCAAATCGTGGGGAAAAATCTCTATTTATACCTCAGTGAGATGTTCTCATAACCTAATGATCTCTCCTTGGGGTTACTTGGAGTGTTCCTTTTTCAAAGCAAACTAACTGAACAGCAGTCTGCCTCTTTTTAACAGTTGTTCTTCATTTCTCAGTTGTTAGGTAAGTTCAGAAACCTTATTGCTTGCTTTTCATACGGCAAAAGTGAACCATAGACAGCAGAACAAAGTAGAATTAGACTCAGCTTTGGAACCTGGTCCAGCGTGGCCTGGATTTGGCAGCTGGTGCCTGACCTCAGGACCCTTCAGGCTGAGTACTATTCACAGTGCACTGTGTGGTGGCAGTCTGGCATTCAGACTTTTCCTCTGCAGCCTTAAACACAGCTTGTTACAGCGCAGACAGAGCTGCAGGGGAAGCTGATGGAGACTGCCTCAAACAGAGATGTGTTCTGATGCTGTAGTTCTAATGCTGTAGTTGCTGGGCACTGATGAGCTTAGTTCCCTCTGTAATTTAGTTATTATTATTAGGTTAGATGTGTTGTAAATCCAATAGCATCTATAGTGCTACACTGGTCATTCGGTGGTAGCAAAGTACATCCAAGTGCAGCAGTGGGAATTAACATTTTGCCACCAGCAGAGTGGTTAAACATTAACGCTGTCTTCTGACTTTGTCTTTAATAACCCAGAGAAGTACTATGCTTACATGTTTAGTTTGCATTGTGAGCTGCTCCTTGGAGTCTTGGTTCAGTTGCTTGTGCAGCGGTGCAGTAACCTGTGAGCTGGACAGCTGGCCTGTGCTGGAACTTGGCATCTTCTGTTTGCCTTGTGTTTCCAGCTCCACTGAGCTACTGACCTCATTTGATAAAAACTTCAGGGTGGCATTGCTGTATCAAGTGATACAGCAAGTGCAGCTTGTGAATACAAACTCAGTATGGTTGTTTAATGGAAGTTTTGTGAATGTGTGTTGAAATGCAGGGTCATTTTGGCAAGCTGCTTCCTCCCACTGTGCCTCTCAGTGTCCAGTCCTGCTGTCATCCAGTAAGTGTTGGGATAGCTGGGTATAACAAGGAATAGAATAATTGTGTACCAGCAAAAGCAGATTGTAATCATTATCAGAAGTGTAGTGTGGGTTAACAGTGCACTTTGTAGTTTTGAGCCTGGGCTTCATTAGCATTCTGGCATTTTGTATTGGTTCTGTGTATCTCCCAAGCTTTGTACAGATTGCTGCTGGGAGGTATGGAAGAAATGTGGCATCTGTTTGCAGAAGGGAAATGGTGGCATCCAATGGTTGGCTGAATTTGTCTTAACTTGTGCACTGAATTTCTAGATACAGAAATCTGAATTACTCACCACTGGTACCTCCAGAGGCAAATGCATCTGACCACCCCCAGATTCTTGTAGGATGAATTGCTCTCTGGATATTGCCATTTTTTTCCATGGACTGTAAAGATAATCATGGATGACGAGCTCAAATTTGAGCTTTTAAACATTCAGTTTAGAGATGATGCATCCTATGTAAAGTGACCCATCCAGGAGTATGAGGGAAGCTTCTGGAACACAGTATTAAACTCAGAGCATTCCGGCTCCATTTAGTTTTATTGTTAAATTACTGTCAGTAAAAACTGTCAGTTAAAGTTTTAGAGTTTTAATTTTTCTCAAAACTGTGTAAACATTTTGCCTTGAAAATGATCTGATGTTGGCTTTCCATCAAGTCTGGCAGAATTCCTATCTGTGAACAGAGATGGAGCACTGCAATCCTCATCCATGTTTTAGGGGAGTCCTGATTTCTTTTCAGTTGTGAACTCTATCAGCAATTTCCAGTTTGAGCATGGATTGATCTTGTACACAGCGTCCTGCACTGAGGGCTAATAGGTAAAAGTAAAAGGTAAGGTAAAAGTCCTAAGAGCCAATTTGTTCGCTTCCACTGAGAAGTCTCCGCCAAACTAACAAGCCTTACACCTGTCAAGTTACCTTTTCTCACTGTCCTCCAGTTTGCAAGACCTGGGGCAAAGTAATTCACCTTCCAGAGCAAAGATCCTTGACAGAAAATCGTGCAGGTCTTTAATAGCCCCAGGACCAGCTGGGTTTGCATCCGCACTTACAGCACAAGGTATCACCAAATGCAGGAGGGGGCAGACCTGCTGACGGTCACACTGCCTTGCTGATGAAGATAAAGAGCCAACCAGGACCTGGAAACAAGCACCTGAAAAGATGCTGGCGTTGTTTGAAACTGGGTAAGTGCCTTCAGTGCTTTGATGCATGATTCTGAATGAATTGTCAGCAATGGGGCGATGTTGGGCCGTGGGGAAGCAGTGGTTAGTTGGCATTTCTGAGACAGATGGAAACACTACATACAAAAATAAGCTTGATTACTTAAAGTATTGTGCTGAGGACTTTTTGACTGCTTAAGCAAGCTGCCTGAAGGCCTACGCTGAGAACTGTTTTCTTCCCTGTTTCCTGTTGCCCTCAATTATACAGCGAAAATCTGAGTATGGGCAGAGAGTGAAAAGCCACTGCAACTTTATGAATTGCTGGCCTCTCTTTGCACTGCCTGGTGTAAGGAGATAACTTCTGTTTTCATAGCTAGGGTGGAATAAGTGTGTGTAGTTGAAATGACAGGCAGTAGGTTGGTAAGCTGTTGCACTGTGATTTGCTTTTAACATTTTCATTTTGCTCCTGTAATGAAAAAGCATTTCCCATGTAGGTTGTCATGTAGTAGCCTATGAAGCTGTCTTAAAGCTGGTGAAAAGCAGAGAGAGATGGTTGTCTTTGCTGTCAGTTTTATTGTCACAGTGTCAAATGTGGTCATACAGGATGCTGTTAACTAAAATCATAACTGAGCTGTTGTTCCAAATGTGCTGGAGGACAGCTGGCAGGCAGGAACACATTAATATGCAAAGCTTAGGACTCCCTAAAAAGTCCTAGGAGCTACATGGCCACAAATCCAGCACCTTATTTCTCTGAAAGGCAACAGGAAGGTGAATTTAGTGGTACCAGAGAGAAAAAGACCACAGTCAGAGGGGTGAGTCCTGCACCTTCTGCAACCTCCATGGAGAGAGCTGTAAATACAGGCAGCAAGGAGCAATGTTCATCAGCTTCACCCACCTGTTACCCTTCCTGCAGTGATGCAGAGTCCCACAGGAACGAAGCACACAGCCCAAAATCTCGACCAGAGGTGCACAGAGCCACCAAGGGAAGGGAAGAGCAGCTCTGCAGCCTATGGTAGGCCAGGCTTTTACAGTTGGTCTCTTCTGAAACAAATCTATGTATTTGATTGGTTGTCTTAACTCTGCAAATACCTGCCAAATCTTTCTGTAGCTAGAAGGCAGATGTACCTACTTAAAGCTTACAGGATGTATAAACAGGCTGGCCAGAACTCCAGTACGTTTGAGATCTCCATCTCTCTGATTTCAGTCTGCTTAGCAGCAGTGCTTCCTGCAGTGGCTGGAACATGCAGAAGTACTAGCAGGAAAAGAAAGGCCATTTCAGGCCTCATCTCTGCAATGTCAAGGCCATTTTTTTCTGCATGTTTCCTGTGACACAGTTAGCATGATCAAAAAGGAAGCTACTGATAGGTTCTGACACATGCCAGGAGCCAGGGCATCCTTGATATGCTGTCTTCTGTCAATGTTGTTTAAGGTCACTTGGCTGCTTTTCCCTAAAATTTACAGCATGTTTTTGAATTACAACACACTATGAAGTCCTAAGAAAAGTCTCTTCTCTGTGACCTGCAGGACAGTTACGTTGTTGGAGTGAAGGTTCAGTTTAGGAATCTGCACCAATAAAGCTGCACATCACAATTCAGTTTGGGTGTCCAGCAGACAGCAGAGCTGCACCAAGAAATCTGTGGAAGATTTGGGCCAGCTTCCCTCTGGGTGGGAGGCAGTGCTGAGCAAATTGGCTTCACCAAAGCCCTGGGTGTTTGTTAAGCAGAGGATTCACAACAAAACATCCGCCTCTCCTGATTCAGTGCAGTGCAGAAGGAGAATAATTGCCTGTATTCATTGCTGCTCAAGTTTTGTAATTACTACTGTGCAGTCAAGAATACATGTTAGTGTAGCTGAATCACACCCTCTGGTGCAGGGAAGGGACAGCTCTGAAAAGTGAAACAGAGAATTACAGGAATGATCCAAGCTACTGATCAGTAGCTAAAGTAAGGCTAAAGGAAGCTGTCCCACAGAAGGATCACCTGCATCATATATATATTTTTATATATATGCACTCACAGAGAGAGAAAAGATATATATAATGAAGCTACTCCTAAGGATACATACCTCCAAACTAGGAGCATCCTCGCCCCCAGTCCTGTCAGTCAGCAGTTCACCACAATAAGGTTCCTTCTCTCCTTTGTGCTGTGTGGTTCAGGCTGAAGGCAAACAGCTGCAGCTTTCCACTGTGTTCCCCTGCCTGCACCAGGCTCCCTGCAGGGCAGTCTGAACTCTTGTGACTGGTGTAGGACAGAGCTCAGGGCCAACCAGTGGTCTGTCTCACAGGAACACAAATGAGTTTGGTATCTCAGATTTGTCAGTCCAAGTCATGCACAGAACGAGACAGAACTGAGGGTGAGGATTACTTCTGCTCTTACACAATAGGTGCATTATTCCTCAAGTCAGGTGTGGTCACTCTTTTGGCTGCATGACCTAGGTGGAAATAATGTTGAGATAAGTGATTCTTTGGTAGCCGAGTGCTGCCAGAGATACTCAGTACAGTCTCAGTTAACTTCCAGAAGCCATTGGGAACTACTGTAGCTTTTCAGAAACAAACTGGAAGGGTTCTGGATGTCAGAAGTTCCAAAGGGGGTGCCTACTCCCATTGCATAAGCATAGCAAAAAGTCCTTATCCTTATAGAAAGGGACAGACTACAACTTCAGCCCAATCAAGTAGGAAGCCCCCTGGTTACACAGACACTCTGGATGAGGCGCCTCTATCTGAGGTTTTGTGCCCACTCCATAGCCAGACCAGGAGAAAGTTACAGGTGAGGTTCTTTGTACCAGAGTATATCCTTGCTTGTTACTAGATGACTCAACTGCTGATGACAAATGCTGCTTGCTTCTTTGTAGGTTTTTCTCTGAGACTGTCCTGTGTTCTGTTACATGTACAAAGGGTGTGCTTCCATTTTGTGCAACTGCGTTTAAAGGTATCACGACACCAGAATCCTATTGATTCCCTATTTGTCAGTATAGTTTTCCATGGAAAAGTAGCTGCTTTGTTCTGAGAGCACAAGTCAAAAAAGCCTGAAGCAAATACCAGAAGTAACTGGTGCCCAACAGAGAAACCAAAGAGAGCCACTCTGCTCGTAGGAAGGTCATATTTCATCTCTTGTGCTTATGAATCTGCTGTTTCCACCACTGTACTTGGCACTGCTGCCTCCTATTGTGAATGCTGCTGCAAATGCTAGGCACCCTCTACACTGTGTGTTTTCCTTTACTGCAAGATCTGCACAGCACTTTTGCAGTCAGATCTTCCCTGTGCATCCTGCAGAGCTGCTTTGTGCTGGGGCTCAGACAACTGACAGTGCAGGTGCCACCCAGGAGGTTTATCACGCGATGTGAAAGCAGCAGGATGAGGTATAGAGGCTCTTCCTCCACTGTCCTTACCTTTGGAACTCATAACAAGATGTTTTCTATTTTCTGTAGTGTAGAAATGGTTTGTGTTAGAGGTATTTCCAGTTCCTGCTGAGCTTGGAGGGCTGCTTCCTATTGCAGCTTTCTTGTTCTTCCGTGCCAAAGGCTGCTGGTCCTTAAATTAAATGATTAGCTTCTGTTTTTGGAAGTGAACGTGTTCTTCCCAGGTTGCCCACATCAATATCCTTGTTGTTCTTCCGCTCCTGCTTCACTAAGTAGAAAGGAAGGTCACATTAATGCAAGAACAGATTGTCCTGGGAGGAGGGGAGGCAGACAAATTGTCATCTTTTGAGGTGGAGAATGGATTAGAGCAGGTCTGCAATGCTGATCTAACCAGCAAGGTGTTTCATCCAGCTGATGCCTCATCCTGGAGAGTACAAGCAGCATCTTGGGAGAGCATGTATTACTTCTCACCTTTGGCAGACTGAACTCTGGGTGAGTTCATGCCTGATTTCCTGCTTTAGGGTGGGCCTGTTGATATTACATGCAGTCTCACCATACCCCACTAGAGGGATATAACCGAAAGAACATCAGTCTGTATGTTTGAAAGCAGGAGCTGGACCTGCAAAACAAACAAACAAACAAAAAAAAGCCCTACTGCATGTCACATCCCTCATCAGCAAAGTGAGGGAAATAAGAGGAATCAATGAAAAATCAAAGTTGTGTCTTCTTTTTTTTGGTTATAAGCAGCTAAGGTAATACCAGATCTTTTCCATAAGAAACAAGGAGGCAAGGCAGGTGAGCACAGGTTAGGTATACTTGTTTGTAGTAAAGCAAAGAGAGGTGATTCCAATGCACTGTGTGCATCTCTCTCAGTTCTTACTCATTTGCAGACTGTCAGGCAGACAGGACCTTAACTGACTTTGAATCTTGGGTGTGCCCAAGTGCACAGCTGTATTTCAAAATACGCAGTGCCTGAAACCTGGCATTCAAGCCTGTCCACTCTATTACACTTACAGTTTGGCAAACACTGCTGTTACTGATTCAGAGCTCACCAAAAGAGGCTGTGCTTTCACAAGCCATGGAAATCCTCAAGAAAGGCCTAGCAAATTGTAGAATCCTGGCAGCAAGCTTTCATCCTACGGTGTGTTTCTTAGCCATTTGCATGCTATGTCCCACAGCTGTCAGGTGGCTGGTAAACAAGAAATGACCCTCCTTAATTTTGAAAGTGTGTCTCAGAATTGTCTGTGGTGTGCTGGAGAGCTGCAGGTGGGCTTTCCTATTGCATGCTGGCTGCTTCCCTCCACATCCTTTGCTCGCTGCTCATGCCTATGCCTCCCACAGGATGGAGCTGGTCTCTTGTGCCAGCTATCATGAACTCAGGAAAGCTCTGTAATGAGCATTTGTATGGCTAAGTGCTAAAGCAGGTACAAGTGACTGGTATTACTGATGTGAGGGGCAAAGCTATTTCTGATCCCTGCCAAAGTTATGTTTTGGAAGCAGGACTCAGTTCACAGCTTCTGAAAGAAGCATTAGAGATCAAAGGGAATGTTCCCATCCAAATTAAACAGAAATCCCTCAAAAGCTTTCTGAAAAGTAGTTCTGCATCTCAGCTTGGCCTTTGTGACCCCATGTGGCCAACTGAGGGCAACTTGCTGCGCTTTTACAGGTCCCATTCTCCAAAGTCAGTAGCTATTCTCCTCGCATTACAGATGGAGAGATGAATCATGCTGAGACAACTTACAGGAAGAGCTGTCCTGTGGAAATCCTCAGTTGCACAGTACCCAATGTTCACCAGGAGATCACACTCCTTTGCTGGAGCCGGGGGCTGCCGGTTCAGCTGGAAACCGCAGTGCTTCTGGATGACGTTTTCCCCTCCTCCCACTGAATCAGCCTTCTATTTACCCACTGGAATGCAAAGTAACAGGACACCCTGTGAGTTTTATCTCTCTCCCGATCTTTTGTATCGCTGTCTAAGTTGCCAGACCGGATTGGAAGTTTTAGCTGCAGACATATATGGGGTGGTTTCAGGGTTGTCTGGCAGGAATCTGGGTGGGAGGGTGCTGTTGGTGAAATTTGAATTTGGGAGTCACACTGAGCACAGAATCCTTGAGACGCTGCAGCAAGGAAAACCCTTTGTCACTAGCTCTGAATCTAGCCCATCGCTGCTGTGCCCATGTGGATGGATGGTGCTTCTTTGTGGAGTTAGAATTACTGGGAACTGCCTCCACCAGAAGACGTTTCCCCTGCAGGCAGCCTGCCTTCGCTCCTTGTGTAAGCAGCTACCTTTTCCTCTTTTCCCTGCATGGCATTTCCAGGGCTGGGAGCTGACGTGAAAGAATTCTGTTCGGTCAGATGGTGTTTGCTCCTCCAGCAGCTAATCCCTGTCTCCTCTGGGACTCTCCTGGGGGTAGAGCTCGCTGTGGTTTAGCTCCTGGAATTGTGTACAGTTGTAACAAAGACAGACTTGTTTCTCAAAGTTTCGGTTGTACCTAAAGCAAGTAATCTCCTTCTTCCTAAAGGTATTTTAAACCTCAGCTTTCTGCTCTCATGCTGCTGTTGTGGCCATACAGATACAAAGAGAGGAGGCTAGGTGGAAGAGGTGACAGCCTTTATTGAATGAACTGCTGTAAGTGGGCAGAAATGGAGGCTTTGTTTGTTGCTGACTGCTACCATTGCAAGTGAGTAATTTGCTTGATCTTTCTGCTTTAATTACATCTTTCTTAATAGTGGAGATGGACTTGCTGAGTTCAGCATCCTTCAGTCAGACCAGAGAGACACGTGGCACGTCTGCTAGTGCAAAAGCACGTGGCATATGCTTATTGAGAGTGGTGCTTTGATGTTTTGGGTCTGTACAGTGGTCAGAAGGAGCAGGCCACCACCTACCGTGGCAACTTAGCCATTATTGCAACACAGCCACTGTGCTTGGGCAGCAAAGAAAAGGGAATCCTGTCATTTAGGGCTCTGAACTGACTGCCTTCCAGCTATGTAATATTTTATATTCAGCAATGGATTGCTTTCTTGTTTTCCCAGCCATGATTGTATCTTCTTTTTCAAAGAGCCAACTGGGCTAAAGAATTAGTTTGCAGAATGTCAGTGGCTTGAATGACAGGAAGCACTGAGCATTTGCAGCTCTGCGTGAGACCAAGAGCTGTGGATCTTTTCAAGAGACACCTTAGGTCTCAAAGAGTGAGACTGCCCTCATTAGCCACATCCCAGAGCACAGCATTTTCTTGGCACCTGCCTGGAGGAGACTAATTGATATGCAGAAGAGGAGGATAAATTTGCAGAAACAAAGAGCGGTAGTTCAGCTCGGAGTAGCTGCTTTGTACATACGCTGTTTTACTGGGGTATTAAATCAGATTGGAGCACTTGCAGTCAGCCAGGGAGGGAAAAGCTGTAAAACTGGAGTGCTGGGAAGGGCTGGGCATCGGGAGAGAGCTCAGAGCAGCTCCTGACATCAGCCAGCCAGGTAATTTCAGCAGTCTGACTAACAAAGCCACCTTTTGAAGGGGAATACCTTAATTCTGAAAATAGTTCCTGCCCTGTGGTACTCAGCAAGCAAAGGGATTCTAGTGCCTGATAAGGGAGCTGGGAAAGCAGTGGCAGAAGCACTTCTGCAGGAGCACAATAGTTAAGTTTTTCACCCGGAGAGAAAACAGCAGGATCAGAGAGCAGACATCATCCCTTTTTCCCCAGGGAGGCACCTGTGAAATGGACAGGAAGCTTGCACTCCGCAGGAGACATTTTAGAGCAAGGGCAAACAAAGGTAACGCAGCACGCGTCTCCCTGCGGCGCTGTGAATCAGCATGCAGCTTCTGTTACACCAAACCAGAGAGGTGGCAGGAGTGTGTGTTCAGGTATGGAAAAAGTCAGTTTCAGGGCTGGAGGCAGTTGTTTTAAAAGGAGGACCAGTTCAGACTCTGATTTTTGAGGGGTACGTTGTGTGGTGGCATAGGCTATGATGTGTAGCATGGAGAGGGAAGAGCTTTTTCAAGGAGGATGGTTTTGGTGTCTTTGATGCTGAGTGTAGGAAACCTTAGAAGTTAGTATCATTGGAGTCATCTTCCCAAGAAGAGGAAAGCAGTGGGGTAAAACTGTGTTAGGAATGCAGATTTTGGTACTGAAAACTTTCTTTTAGATCTGCATTACAACATCCTGAAAACGCAGATCTTTTCTTCTGATCTCTCCTTCTCATCTCTGGCAGTGCTGCTTAATATGAGGCTGTACAATCCCTGAGACACGTTGCCCAAATCTTGCAGTGTGGGATTTGGATATAGAGTGGTTTCTGCTGTGTTGTGTGTCATTTTGCATCTCTTTTCCTCTGGCTGGAGAATGACTAATTGAAGAGACCTTTAAAGGCCATCTGTGCTGATACTTGAGGGATCTAAATGGGGTACAGGAGGGACAGAAAGGCTGTAGTGCTGTGTGAGGGATCGGGGTTGGGGTATATGATGGACAGTGGTCCATGCTGCTGCCTGGAGGATCTGAGTGGGGATGCTGGGTGGAGCTGTGTTGCTATAGAAGGGATCTTTGTGGGGTGCATGTGGACAGAAGGGCTGTGCTGCTACCTCAGGAATGTGTGCGTGGGCTCTGAGGGGACAGAGGGGCTGAGCCTCTGCTTCAGGGACATGGGACAGAAGGGACAGCTGATGCTTCAAGGGTGTGAGTGCGAGTACAAGGAGTACAGAGGATCTGTATTGCCACTTCAGGGATCTGGGTGAGGGTTGTGGATGGACAGAGGAGCTTCTCTGCTTGAAGGAATCTGGGTGGGAGTGCTGGATGGACAGAGGGTCTGTGCTCTGCCCACGGGATCTGGGTTGGGTACATGGCAGGTACATGGCTTTGCTTCTACTTAAGGATGTGAGTGAAGGTCCTGGATGGACAGCGGGGCTGTGTTGTTACTTGGGGGATCTGGGTCAGGGTACGTGGTGGACAAGGAGACATGCTGCTGGTGGAAGTATCTGAACTGGGGTCCATCTGCTGGAGTCATCAGGGTTCGGGTACCAGATGCACAGAGGAACGGCTGCTATTTCAGGGATCTGAACGGGATGGTTGGACCGGATGACCTTGATGGTCTTTTCCAACCTCGGCGATTCTGTGATTCTGCGACTGGGGGCACAGATAAGGACACGCTGTGCTCGGGCAGCTCCCCGGGGTTCCCAGGGGACGGCTGTTGTCACCCTGCTGCCCGACGGGGAGCACAGAAAGAGCGGGCAACCCCAGCCTCCGGCTTCACCCCAACCGCGACCCGCTCTGCTCCCGGGCCGCTTCCTGCTTCCCGTACCGCACCTGCCGGAGGGCCGGGCCGGGGGAGGAGCCGCGGAGCGCCGCGCCATGGCGGCCTGAGCCGGCGGCGCTGGGCATGGAGCGCGGCCCCGGGGCGCCCGGCGGCGGCATGAAGTACACGGCACGGCTCCAGGTGAGCGTGAGCCCCGACCGCGGGAAGGGGGAACAGCGGAGGGCCGGAGATGCCCGCTGCTTCGTGATTCGCGGTGCTGAGGTTGAATGAGTGGCGGCCGATCGGGATTTCAGCTTGAATGCGCCGCGGTGCGGGGCTGGGTTCGGGGTGCCGAGCAGCGCTGCTCGCCCTAGCGAAGCGCTGTGGGGCTTTGCTCGTTAACCGGTGAGTTATCTGCGTGCTTAAGCCGCAGTCTCTGCTTTTTGGGGAAAGCGAAGGATCGATCGGGAGCAGCTCTGCGCCCAGAGCTCTGTTCAGTACCGCGAAGCTGCCCCAAAGCGGCTTTGGACTGATGGCGAGCTGCGCGTTTTCTCGCTGCTCTGCTTGTTGGGAGCCCGGCGAGGGCTGCTGGTTGTCATCTGATGGCGAGTTGCTGGAGCTCTTGAGGAGGAAGCTGGCCCACAGCAGGAGAAACTGGTCTCCCTGCTTCCAGCCCTGTGTGCAGCCCGGCACAGGGAGAGTCGTCTGCAGTGTTATGGGTGAGGTCCTGCGTCACCCTTGTGCCAAGTGCTGGTTGTCCTCCAGGAAAAAGGACGTTTGGGATCCTGACAGCCTGCTGCTGTGCTGGGATGGAGGTGATGGCCTCAGGTTGCGCCAGGGGAAGTGCGGGTTGGTATTAGGAACAACTTCTCCAGTGCGCTGTACAGGGGGTCACCGTGCCTGGGGGGGTTCAGAGCCGTGGGATGCGGCGCTGAGGGATGCGGGCAGTGGGGGTGGGCTGAGCTCGGGGATCTGAGAAGTCCTTTCCAACCTGAAGGACCGTACGGCAGCTGTGGGTTTCGTACGTCTTCACGTCGCGGCTGGATGCTCGAGCCACCTCTGCCACACTGCGGCTCAGCTGCCGGGATCAGGGATGTGCCATGTCCCTGCCTGGGGTCTGAGCACAAGAAGAGCTGACGTGCTCTGGGAGGTCTGTCCTTGCAGATGAACGCTTTGAGGAGTTTGTTTCTGGTCGTTCAACTGCTGTTGGGCTCGGTGGACCTGGAAATATGGCGGTGCAGCAGATGGGAGTGTTTTGCAATGGCTGTGCTTCCTGCTGTGAGATTTACAGCCCGTGGGTGCAGTGCATGGGGAAGCTAATCCTTGTCCTTAGAAAGGTGCAGAGCTTTTCTCTCAGGCAGTGCCAGTGGCTGCTGGGTGAGCTGCTGCTTGGGCCAGTTCTGCTGCTCTTCTTGCCAAAGGCACAGACGGATAAGGAAGGCACAGAAAGAGAGAGGCTGAGGTTGATCGAGAGTGCAGAGGACCTTTGCTCTGTAAACAAAAGATCACTGTAAAACTGTTGAGGGAACGGGGAGAGCGGTGTTGAGGGCCTGACTGGGGAATGTATGGCACCAAATGTTCTCACCTTGCTCGGGGAGAGCACGCCGTTTCCAGCCAAAGGCCGTGCAGACTCACCTTACCGAAGGTGTGCTGTGATATCTGGGCAATGAGCTCACACAGAGCAGAGAGCAGCTACTGCAGCAGCTGAGTAAGA